CGTTTCTTTTGCAGTTCAATGCTTTGGTAGTCGCTGTCCTCTGTTTGTCTGCGTTGCGTTATTTTGCAACAGAATCACCTTCAAAGTTCAGGAGGCACTTAGCCCTGCAGAGAGAGCCGACGCGCCGCAGCACTGCTACGCTACATTCACTTCAGGTGGATCGATCATTTTGCGCCAGACCGTTTCCCACTCAATTCTTGACGACATACATACGAGCTTCATCAAAAAAGTCGTAGGGGAGAAGGCGTCCCCGCCAAAAGTGGATGTCATATCTATGGTCGAGTACCGAGCAACGGCAGGTACGAGCGTGCAAAGCTTCGCCAGAATCTGATGAAGAGCTTGACGTTGTTATACCTGAGACCGCGTTTATACTGTTGCGATACAAGCTACTAAAAGTCGTGTGGCACTGCACTCAATCTCTAGTCGTTGGATCATTGCATGATTGCAATAAATAAGTCGTGTCCTGAGGCGGAGGTGGTGTAGTGACAAGTGGCGCGCTTACCACTCGCGCGGCACCGTGTTCAAGTCCTGGGTCGACTTCCGTCCATGCCAACATCGGCTGGCCACCGCAAGTCATTGTATAGGCCACATCGTATTCAGTAAGCCACACGTACGATTCCGGGGAATGAGGTAAGAAACGCATGCGCATCTCACAAAAGATTGATTAAGGGCGAAAACTTTTTTTATCCACCTTATCCTTTGAGTCTTGTCCGAGACGCGACAAACATAGGACAGCGGCTGCCAAAGCATCGAAGTGCGCAAGAATTATATAGCGAGCTAGGATATGGGCTTTCAAGGGAACGAGATGTGCGGTGAGTGAGCCCGCTTTTATCCTTTGTGGAAACCGTAAAAAGAGGTCACGTATAGGTCCGATAATCATAGAATACGAAAGAAATGCAAAGAAAAACAGAAGCTAAACGCCATTCGTAAGGGATCAGGTTCATAGTTGTTTTCTGTAGACAGCATTCCACCTGAACTCTCTTCGGCGCGTCTGTTTATCAACTAGCTAGAGCGCGCTTATGATTGAACCAATAGTTGCGGGGACCCAATAAACTGGCGGTGGAGCACGCTCGGTCGCAGTTCCACGATTATTAAATGTAGTAAAGTATGAACGCGGTTCAAATAGCTCTCGTAATCTCATAACGAAATTCAGCTGAAACAATAGATTACAGCTGCCAGCAGCAACACACAGTGGCAACTTGAATGTCTGGGATAAGCCAAGCTCCCCCATGGGGAAAACTGAGAGCGTCTCTGACTAATCCGTAAAAGCGCATCATGAGTTATCTCTGGTACAGTTCTGAAGGAACACAAGAATCCGGAGAAAAGTGCAAGCAGAGCTCCGTCGCTCAAAAATGTTTTGTAATGGACACTTAAGAGGCAGTTATCGCCGATCAAGAAATTGCGGGCAATTGTACTCTGTCATGCACCAGTATTCCATAGTTAGCTTCTCAGTAGAAAAAGAAGCAGAAAAATCTTCGGGAACACCTTGAACCCAAACCTACCTTTAGCAGTGGGGGCGGGGCCTGGACGAGTGTGCCGGGCGTGGCTGCCAGAATTCGATGCGGCAGCCGCAATTGCGTCCCAACTTTCGAAATAGGTGAATGGTGATGATTAGAGTTGCTTACAGAGAAAATTGGGAAGGTTGCTGGAGTTTTCTTGAGAAATTGACAAGAAAAAGAAAGAAAATGACAACAAACCCCACTTGACAACAAATCTCCCTACCATTGGAAAAGCAAGCACTACATTCCATAAGCAAAAAAACTCTAATGGTTCCGCACTTTCACACATGTTTACAAGCCTGACCGAAGTAAGACCTTTAGCTGAGCTATGAGCCAACTTTGGCAAAATGCCAGTGGGACCGCGGGCTTAAAGGGACGCGCGGGCTTTAAAGGGACGGATGCAGTTCGGGACCAGACGCCTCGTCCACCTACCGTCTCCGTGAGCCTAGCGAGCCTTGTCGAAATTGCGATAACTTCCTCATCGCGCGCCATTGATGGATAAAAGCGGGATCATCTTCATCAAGGCGCAGAGGGTTCCAGAAGGCGCGAAGTCATTTTGAAGGCCTCTCGAGCGCGGATACTGTCTTTAAATGAGTTCTCACGATGGTTTCCTATGCAAAAGAACGGAGTGAAACGGTCAAAATCCTGCGAAAAAAAGCCTCCTGTTCTCAGTGACTTGAAAATCGATTTCGGACGAGTTTCCCGTAGGCATCTTACCAATCACCGCTACCGAAGATGGGGCTGCATATTTGTACCCATGTATGCATGCAGCGCTTCATACATATCACTTCGCTTTCAAATCAATTGCTGAGGGGCAAATGAATGAAATGACGAGAGTCAGAACGGTCCTCCATTTGTGGGCGGCAACGGCAGGCGTGTGGGACGTAATGTTGTGGCCTGACAGGGCCCTTATAAGGGCACCTTCCTCGGGAAAACCGCTATGCAGTGCCTGCCCAGGTTCGCGGAATTCCCCCCCCCCCCTTTTATCTTGCCAGGAGTATTTATCCTAGTCGTCTTGGGGGATTTATCGTGCCAACTGCCTTTAAAGCACAGAATAAATTGTTAAAGGAGTGCGACAGGTAGGGGGTGGGGTGACTAAAATTTACTTGTGCGTTCGAAATTCACCTGAACCTCCTCAAAATCGTTGAGTTCGTCACGATTTTCTTCCATCTTCGTTTTTTTCTCCTCAGATTTCTGTTCCACTGGTGGCTCACCCAGCGTTTCAGATCGCATTCCTATGACATGCTGAAAAACGAAAAGTGCGGACAGTGAAATAATAAAAAATGAAAAAGTTGACACGTTAGAACGTAAACACTGAAAATTTCGGGAGACGTGACCGATTTCAACATGTTTTGTGACGTAACTGAACAGCAAGGGGATGAACGGCCCCCGTTTCAGAAAAAATAGCACAGCCGTGCACTTTACTATTCGTCAACAGTTTTACGACCAGTGAGCAGATGACTTTTGATAATTTATTAGTCTTCTTAACTGTTATCATTGCCTAAGTTGGAGGGTAACCCGTTCCCAAGACGTCAAGTTCCTACGACATAAAGACCGAATTATCGAGACTGCGTCTTCGTAAATCATTTGACCATTTCTACAGTAGAAAAACTACAAGCGTGGTGCTATTCCCAGAATCAACAAGAACTTGTTCTTGTTACTTATGTAGGGGATGTAGGAGAAAAACTCTTACGATTTTACCGCGAAAGAAGCTCACAATTCACAGAATTTTTGACGGTTTCTAGTACTAGTCAGCCCCTGATGAAGAGTTTCCATAAGTAGTAAACAAAGAATCAACACAAGATTTCTTTTCCTGGAGCGATAATTTACAAGCCGCTCAACAGTCAGTGGAAAAGTTAACTGAACGATTAAGAGATATTAAGCGACCGGACGAAGTGGCACTGAAAACGAATAAGCTACTTTAAGGCAGTCCCGCGCACAAGAACTAGTAGGCATCGTTCCTTGTACAAGAAGTCTGGTCCTCATTCTCTAATACTGGCCCATTCTCGCGGTTTCAGAGTGACGAAAAAGCTGCCCTCAGAAAAGGATCTATGACAACGCCGCAGTTGTCCCACCCACTGAAACTCAAAGGCTATTTTCTGCCACAAGCCTCAGTTTTTCCACCCGGCTTTTCGCTTTTTTTCATTGTTAGATGGTATGGAATGAAGCGGAGAATGGATTATTGAGCTAGAAGAGCAGGATGTCGTTTGCTGGCATAAAAAGAGCAGGTCCCGAGAACTCGTCCAGAGAGGTTGCCAGGTTAGTACTTAGGATGTTCTTAATGGTTTTTCTTTCGCTTTTCCCTCCTGGAGAGTTATTTACCTACTACAGGTTTCTAACTGAGCATCCATAATATACAATCGCGGGGTTTATTTTTGATTTGTTCTTTTATACAACAGAGCTGAGCCATTCACTACTGTGTCACCAGTTTCAAACTCGGTCAGGTGCTATGTGCCTCGGGAGATGTGTAAGCATTCTCCACTGAGGCGATCCCCGTATGATTCCGCAGATTCGCTTCTTTGAAATGTTTTCATGCGCACGCAAGTTCAGTCCAGTCTTGAGCCAATGGATCCTTTTACTTCTCTGCGCAGGTGCAGCATCGTTGAGGAAAGCACTTCGAGAGTTTTATGTAAGGGGTCGTACTCGGCCCTCAGAAGCACTTTTTCCGAAACACAAGACACAGCTTGGGCCATTGATTTATTTTTTCGGTTTTCACTGCGCCGCATATCAGACATGTCTCCCTGCCAACCGAAAAGGCGAATCCGGAGGGGTGAGTTCGGGCAGCACACGACAATGTTACTCCTACCCAGCTCCCTGTTGCAAGCACAGTAAAAGGCAGCAGTTGTGCGAAATAACGAGTCGATACGACGATCAGCAACACACACCGTGCGTCGCTTGCTCCACTTCAACAGCAGGCGTCGTGCCGAGCCTCACCCGAATGACACGCCTCTCCATCACAGCGAACAAGACTATATGCTCCCCTGATTGCCGCCAGTCATTCTAAGTCACAGCTCCGAAACACACCTGATATAGGTTCCATCACAAACTGCCACCTCAATATGGAGTCTCCCTTGCAAACAGATTGGGAAGCTGGGAAGATATTATCGTCTCTTGGGACAGCACAGACGAGCAGACGTGTTCGATCGTCGCATACCCCCCCCTCCCAACTGCACTAACATAGTCGAACATACTATAATTCCAGTGCAAGGTTCAATCGAATGATAATATCAGGCATTTCGAATAATGAGGAAGGTGGTAGGTCAAAAATGTTCCTCCGCAAGTCATATAGAGTTGCGAATTCACCTTCGATAAGAAGAGTCCGTATGATTACGGACACTAAGGAGATTTTATTGCTCTGATAAATGAGGGAGGATGGTGCATATAAAGAATTTTTTTGTGCCATGTAGGGTTTTCATCATGGAGACTAGTTTTTTTTCTCGAAGATTTGGATGACTTCAATACTAGTTTTACTATGAGTCTCCTAAATGCTCCTCCAGATTGTTACAGCCGATCTTGTGATACAAAACGAATACAGAAAAAAAAGAAATAGAAACTTCAATGAAAGATATTTCGAAGAAAACTGAAACCAATGGTTTGCGGCTACCCACCTGGCAAAGCTGTGCAGCCAACTTATCTGTGGGAAAAGTCCTTCCATTTCCGGTCTCTTGAGTGCCACTACAGAGACGAATTTGCCCATGCTAACAGAAGCACTGCCCTCTGAAACACTAGCCTAGTTGATGGGACACAAAACTTTTCCGTCTGAAATTCAATAACAACCAAACAAACATACCTTTTGGATGGGCAGCAGAATACAGCGAAGAATTTAGATGGCGCATAAAGGACCCGTACACTTCGAACTGCGATATTTTCACCAAGTTTACCAACGGCCATTGCAACCAATTCAGGTAGAGGTTTACCACCGCATCAACTAACGATTGTAGTTGTGAAACTGAAAATATCAAGCTATCTGATGGATAGTCAATCTAGAAGGCCAAAGGAATAAAGGCAAGGACGCACCAAGATCGACAGAGTGAATCTTGTTTGACGATATTTCTGGTATGTGTTTTTGCGCATAATTTAGCACAGCTTCTACCAGTTGTTCAAGCTGAAGTGTCAGTTATATCACAGATATACATAACCTAATAAAGTGTTGTTCGCTGCGCATAAAGACGCGTGTCGGGCGGGTCAGGTTTAGCGCGGCGACAAACCCGCTCTCCACCACTAGTGAGGGTAAGACCATAAATGGCGGAAAGCGATTGATGACTTACTAGTTTCTTGAAGTTCTCCCCTCTAGCCACAAAATCCGTTTCGCAACTCAGCTCGACAACAGCAGCTATTGAACCAGTTGATCTGACAGCCACGAGCCCTTGAGTCGTAGCACGGCCACCTAGTCTAAAAGAGGGCAGTGGAATAAATATTTTGTAAAAAACTAGAAAAAACGATCAAGTTGATAGGTTGATAGCAATCACTTCATACTAATTTTTCAGTGAACTTCGTTGACACTCTCAAACAACCATTTTTATGACCACCGTGTAATACGACCGCTTTTCTACGATGACTCACTTTTGTAGTGTTTATTACGTATTTAACTCGGCAGCAGAACCATGAAACTCAGGGACCTAGAAATTCAACTGATGATGCTACCATTCTCAAGCTGGGTACCCCCTGAAGGAGTCAGTACGCGAGTCCACTCTAAAAAAGTCTCAATACGACCTTCTAAAAAGAAGCGTGAGCGGATTCTCAGTTTCTAAACTTGAGCTTCTAAAGCTCATGAAGAGGCAAATTTTCGCAAGATATGCATTGCTGGGTAATTTGAAAATTACTTGTGAGTTTTGTGCATTTAGGAGGGTAACTTTCCAGGTAGACAACTGTTTTTTTTTTTGAAACCAGAGAGATTTGTTCTTTACAAGTACTCAGCTTTTCTTTGTGACGGTACCGCATTTTGCAAGATATGCGATAGAGATTTTTTTAGAGGAAACTTCGCGCAGCTTGAAAACCTTGTTCCGCACATTTGCAAGTTGCAAGGGAACTCACTTACAAGGGAATGGTTTGAACTTCCCATGGAACTTTGAATGGAGACCTAGGTACATCGATAGAGCCGAATGCTGATTACGAATATGCAGATTAAAAGTGCTACGGGGACCTCCCAGACGAGATCTGGGTGGTCAAAGTTTGAGTTCTGGCTCGTAAGCGCTGCTGATCGATGCTTCGGCAGTGCCACCGTGGCCTCGTGGTAATGGTCTCGCTTTCAAGTCAAACGCATGCGGGTTTGCATCCGGTTGGCGGCGAAGAATTTTTTGCTTCCGTCCTATATAGGGCTTCAACTCTAGTTTTCGAAATTCTTCCGAATTTACGGCCCAGCAGGGCAAGTAGATCAAGTACATCAAGTACTAGTACGTTTTAGTACGACGTACTCGATCTAGTATGGATGTGGTCATATCTGCCCTCTCTGAACATATTACCCATCCGACAATTCAAAGTTTTAGCGAGAAATTCGTTCATGGGACCCTTCATTCTTCAGACCCGTTCATTCGACCCCCTGAACACGAATATCACATCCTTCGACGAAAAACGCTCGTCTGGCCAAATTGCGATTCTGGGCAAAACTTTGAATTGTCGGATGGGTAATATGTTCAGAGAGGGCAGATATGACCCAATCCATACTAGATCGAGTACGTCATATACTTGATGTACTTGATCTACTTGCCCTGCTGGGCCGTAAATTCGGAAGAATTTCGAAAATTAGAGTTGAAGCTCTTATACGGAGCGAAGCAAAAATTTTCGCGCCAACCGACGCAAACCCGCATGTTTGACTTGAAAGCGAGACCATTACCACGAGGCCACGGTGGCACTGCCGAAGCATCGATCAGCAGCGCTTACGAGCCAGAACTCAAACTTTGACCACCCAGATCTCGTCTGGGAGGTCCCCGTAGCACTTTTAATCTGCATATTCGTAATCAGCATTCGAGGCTCTATCGATGTACCTAGGTCTCCATTCAAAGTTCCATGGGAAGTTCAAACCATTCCCTTGTTAGAGACGGCAAGGAAGCTTCAAGAACGCTCCTTCGTGAAACAACCTTAGGAAATGGTTTGTTTATAGCCGATTGTTCCCATCTATGGATCTGGCATTTCCACCACCTCTATCTGGATCAAGGCTCCCAGATAGAGGTGGTGGAAAGGTGTAACTCTTCCATCTTGATTTCCTGTGCAAACAGACATATTCGTAGGATTCAGAAAAGGCTCTAGCCTTTCTGCAGTCTTCCTTGAGATGTACAGTTATGATCCCTGCAAACGACAGGGCATGTGACGCGGCGGGTATTGGAGCGTAGCGAGGGCGGCCTCATTCCGACAACGACGCCACTCCGAGCCCGCTACACTGGTGTGAAATCTGACCGGCTGTGCACCAAGCCATCCATCCTACCCCCTGTCAGTTGTAGAGATTCTGACTATACTAATTTAGCCAACTACTAAACTGCAGCTTTAGATTGACTAATTAATACAGTTAGTATCAACTGCTAGTACTAACTGTCTAATATTTTGCAGCGTTTTTCACACATCCTGGCTCCCTCCACTGCGATATCCGCTCCCATAAACTTAGCGATGCTGAAACTTTTGCAAACTATCCGTTTACGATTGGCAATCCCTAATGATGACGTGCCCTGCTCTCAAGATCCAGTGGTCTATTGGCAGTGCTGCTGCTATTCCCATAATATGAGCCAGACAGCGAGCACAGCAACTTTTTGGCATCTGATATTCCATTTTCACCAACTTTACTTCCACAACTAGCAACAAAAATTATCTTTGCAGATTCCCACTCACATCCCCCGACTCACTCCCTTCTCTTGGTTCAACATACATCCAGCTTCAACGTCTAGTATCCCCTAGCTCCAAAGTCAGAAAAAAAAACTCGTCAACAGCGAGAGGCAATAAACTATATGAAATACCATGAAAACCGATTCTTTCAACAACTTTCCACCGCCATCAAGTTGAAGCGAAACAACCCCAGGTAGCCAAATAAGACCCCTTTCCCGGAGCAGCCCAGACAACAGTGACTGAGAACTTTTCAAGGACAAGTCTCGTGACTGAGTGAGCCTACATTTCACGGTGAGTAGTTGTGAAGAAGACGGTTTTGGTCGGTTCGCTACCTTGTGCTATACTCACTCGCACGGTTTTTTGTACTGATTCCAGAACAGTACCGAAAAAAGTAAGAATGGAAGGAATTCTAAATCTACAGAGCCGAGTTAATATCATGCCAAAGAAGTATACGGAAAACAGCATCAAGTTAAAAGAACTCGCCAGAAAATAGCTGTTTTCGAGAAAAAGAAACTGCAATAGTTGCACTTACTTGGCGGCTTTGGCCCATCCCTCGCTCTGTGCTCGTTCGCGAAGCCATTTCTCCGCCTCTGCAATATTGTCGGCTCCAAACTTCACCAGCGCTTTTCGACAGTTCACGTAGCTGTAACCCGTGCGTTTACGCAATTTCATCAGAGCCTAAATCGCGTTTGTTTCCTACGAAGAAGAAAGAAATGCAAGTGTCGAAATGAATACCACCGAACAAAACATATCTGGAAAACGACTAACCTCCCGGTTAGAAATGGTAAAGCTTCATTGGCAATGTTGATACTGCACGAAGGAAAATTCGCTCTTAATAATCATTGGGACAATCAAATGACCCCTTGTGCAAGAAGTGGAATTCCCGCAAAGAAGATCCAGCAGGGATTTTTGCATAAGCCTGGAGGAGGATGCAGTTCCGGCGTTGGACCAGTTTCAAAGACGATACGTCGACTTAGATAACGTAAGTCCCACTTTGTTCGAGGTTTAGTGCTCCGCTGTTATTAAGGCCAGAGAATCATACTTTCCGCGCTAACCGGAGCACAGAGTTGTTGGAAAAATTCTCTAGGGTGTCGGAAGTAACATGATGCGGCGTTGTTGAAATAATGAGTGGCATTTATACTCTAGTTCACTGCGGACGGTTGGGTGTGTCAGGAGTGTATCACGCCGTCAGAGCCGCTTTACTTTTTCTTTTTTTTGTTTACTTACTTCACTTGCTCGCTTTAGCAACTGGTGGGAAACGGGTTTGGCACCGCACCAAACTCATCCCGCCTGACAATCCCAACCGTCCGCAGCGAACTGCATTAACACGATATTTCCTACAGTCTTGTACTTGACCTTGAGTGCGAGGATGGCAATGGAGTCTCATCCGACATGCTTACCTCTTTGTTAACAGGATCGCTGGATGCGGGTGCTGCCGAAGCGAGGCTCCGCCTGAGCAAAGTCAGTGGGACTGGTCCTCGGAAAAGCTGCCGAAGCATCATCAAGCAATCCTGTAACACGAGCATAAAACTGATGATCAAAACGAGCAAGTACAAGCAAACCCAAGCAGCTAAGTGAACATCTGAAATGTGACAAAACATGCATACAAAGATTGCATCAGATATTTCAAAATGTCAAATAGACGACATTCTGCGGTATAAGCTACACTTCTTAGTCGTCGTCGTAATGTCGTGGTTGAACAACGCCTACCTACGTTCATCTCATAAAAGATAAAGCTTCATCCACACGAAAATTAAAGGAACAAAGCCGTTTAGTTGCAAAGACAATGGGAACTTTTAAATACAGGATGTGACGTAAAAATACCACCAATCACGTACTGTCTGTAATTGCGTACTGTCAGGGGGCTACCGTAACTTCACGTTCAGTTTTATTGGGGAGTTGCAAGTTGCAGGCAGGGCACGCCATTGCGTTGTGATCATTTCCCTGCTAATTACGACCCCCCCCAGAATTAGGTTCTTAATACGACCCCCCTGTCA